CCTTGAAAGAAACCAGACTAATTGCTTTCAACATCAGTATCTGGCATTCGCTTGAATATTGCTGTGTTACGTTCAGTAACTTGCGAAAGATTGACTTGAGAGCCATGGAAAACATCCAACGCGCCTTTACGAAGTGCATATTTGGCTATTCAACCGCTCTTTCATACCGTGATAGGTGCAAGCAGTTGAATCTTGAACCACTGTAGTTACGAAGAATGCAATTAAATCTGTGCTTCCTTCACAAACTCGCGTGGCGGAAAGCATATGCTGGAACCTCTCAATTGCACTTTCGGGAAAATACCAGTTATGAACTGCGAGATAGTGAATGCATATTCTATTTACCTAAATTCAAGACCAGCCTAAGGAGAAATTTCTATCTCCATATGGAATAAGCTGCCAAAAGAGATTAGATGTATTGAACATTTTTGCATGTTCAAGAAAATGATAAATGTTTGTATGTCAAAGGACAGTGAAATAGATCTTAAAAATGCAACTTGATGATGAAAAGCTGTATGAAGAAGGGCCGGATCATGTATAATTCCGGAGAACATCGCCTCGAATGCACCAGAGAAAACATGATCATCTAGGATGAGCTGCTACAAACCGCTTCTTATGCTATTCTTTAATGCTACCTCCTATGCGGTTTTACTCCTTTCAAACTTAATTCATACCAACAGTCTTCTGTTTAAAACCGAGAGCAAAATTATTTACTGGTGTGACGTCAGGAATTCTTTTTGTAATTTTCCCCACAAATTGATTAATTCGTAATATTGTTCTGCGATTCCCTTCGCTACATTTGTTCTGAAGTGCTAATCATTCCCCTTTCTTTTCTGAAGTTAACAGTTCAGAAGCATATGCTTGAATTCAGTGATGACAATAACTGATTCCCTATGCGACTTTTGCCTATGGACAACTCGTACAGTCATCTGTCTCCGGCTGTCACGCCACACAATTTGATCGTATGATGGGCTCGATCCATTTCTACGCCGATGTAATAACATACCTGCCCATGTTTTACATTAACGATATAGTACCTCTTTCACATAATTCTTTTCTATATTCTTCCTTATTTTATTGTTGGACACGACTGGGCTGATCTCCTGTGGTGACGGATTACAGCTTCCAGATTATAAAAGACGTTACCTATGCAAGGCAAATTGCCAGCAACTGACTGGTGTATAAAAAAGTGCCATAATAGAATGATCCGCATGACGGACTGGGCTGAGCCTTCATGGCCCATAATACATGTACAAAAGCAGCTCTAAAAGAACAGAACATATGATAAACTGGTGATGGCTCATATGCTACTATGCCACACTGGCACACGGCCAGTTATTGCATGGAAGTGCGAGCGAAACCTTTCGAGGGAATACCTTGCATGGAAGCAGGTCCCCTGGGGATGGTTCCACGAGTGGCCGTATTACTTTAACTGTTTATATCTGCATATGTTATTGTTCCTGTTTTTTTTAATTTCTTTAATGACTTAATCCTGCCAATTACTTTAGTACCAGTTTTGGATCCATTGTAAAAAGTGTGAATAAATTGTTATTTTTTTGCGATCCTGTTGTACCCATTGATCAGATCACATAGTTGGACTGCATCTCGAATCACCGAGGAATATACTATTTGTTTATGTATCAGTTCTGTCATTCCACTGCATATGTTATATCAGTTTCGAGTATTTGCTTTCCCGTAAATTCTATGATGGCTGTTTGTTATCCCCGGTGTGGCTGCGTTTGATGTGCAAGCTGACAAGGTGCCTACCCCGTCTAACACAATCCACTTCGATTGTTGGATCCAGGAGAGGTTAAACCATTGCTAGGGGAACGAGGTGCATGGTCCCCGTGGCCATGCTGGGCTCAAAGAGTGTTCCATGCATCCAGTGTGGAGCGGGCTACATCCCAGTCACTGACTTGTGTACGTCTAGTACGCATGATCCCCTACACAGACAGACAGTTATGCTGCGGCTGTGCACATTGAACGAGTGTAGGCCGGCTCTGCTGATGAAACGGGGCTCCTACCCACATGCCTTGCGGTGTTATTCTTTTGGGTTTACAATGAATATGCGGTGTGTTTGGAGCTGTGGGTGATGCAGCGCGAGTCCCCCATGGTCCCTCTGTAGGCGCAGGCGTCCTGTGACTGTCCTATGGAGTACACAGTGACAGGCTAATCCGGAATCGGATGTCGCCAACGATGATCAGTCCCAACACATGTCAGTGTTTTGTGTAGATTCGTCGCAGTTAGACACAGGCACAGTCACCACACATCCAGAAAAGCGCTAGACGGCCGTTTCGCTCTACTGGAACTCGTCAGTAGCGCGCACCCACGGAATCCTGCCGGATTCGAGTCAGCGATTTATGTCACTGAGGCATGGGCGACGGCAGCGGACCGCAATGACTGATATCTAACTGCGATATAGCGCGGCTCATCCTCCACTGTCATGCATGTGCAGAGGACAAGGCTGGCCCCCAGAGCAACGACTTCCTTTGCGAAGAATCTACACAAAACCTAATAAATCCCCCTACTACTTACAAAACATGTCAGTGTTTTCTGACAAAGGTTAGAACTTGTAATCCGCTAGTAAATGACTTGTTTTGTAACGAGGAATAACTTTTTAGCGTAGTCGCAACAGTTGGTATGCGCTTCGCGCATTTAAAGCTCAAAGTGTTGATGCAGGACCACCAACCACTTGATGACCCCTTGACTCTAGATAGCGAGGAACTCGAGTTAATTGATCAGTGCACTTACCTTGGTAGCTGCATCAGCAACGATGGGCACATAACCACTGAAATCAGTTCAAGCGTCTCAGTAGCTGGAACTGCATCTTGAAACTGCGACATCTGTGACGTCAGAAAAAGGTTTCCTTCCATCTCAAAGGCCGTGTTTACAAGACCACAGTGGGGACCGTCATACTCTTTGGTGATGAGATTTTGCCCCTTCGATCTAAAGATCTGAAACGCCTTTAAGCCATTGATCATAGCTGCCCGCGATGCACTGCTAGTGTCGGATGGTACTAGCATGTCCGCAACGGTGATATGCGTAGGCGAGTGTTAGGCGGTGATTATAAGGCCGGTTCCTTAGAACAACAGATAGCACAGAATAAGTTACGTTGGCTTGGACACATACTACGTATGCACGGTCACCACTTACCGAGGAGAACCTCGTTTTATTTGCTGGATGTAGAGAAACGCAGGGCTCGAGGTGAGAGCTGTCTCGCTGACGGCACCTTACTTTTGCATAATATCCAGCTGTTTGTAACGGTGCGTTGTTGACAAGGCCTGGGTGTTTGCTTATGGCATTAAGGTGTTGCGCTAGTCCTCAGTTCTTACCCAATTGTTATTTTTCGTTCCAGGGGTCAGAAGGTTACCCAGAAGCGTAGCGTCCGTCCAAATGACTGATGTATTACTATTGATGATGATGATGCCGAATAAACAATAAGAAGAAAGGAGAGTTGGCGTAAGACCTAAACACTACAAGCAAACATGCATCAATTAAGTGAACATTCCCCATCAAGGCGTCTACATCCCGTCATCAACACCCGGTCAAAAGCAGCTGGCTAGGGCGCGATGATAAGGTGAAATCAATGGGACAGCGCTGATGTGGCATTTTACTGGTAAAGAGTTGATAGGAAAGTGCTATCGATGTGAACCATGTCGTACAAAATCTCGGACCAAGAACCACACAAGTCCCAGTAGGCAAAGTGAAGTACAGCACGGTACGTTTCGGCGCTCTCTCGCCCATTCGTAGAGGGACGTATGGTTGTAAGCCTTGGCCATCTGGTTATCACTTTGCGGCAACCAGAGACCAGTAGCGAGTTTGTGTAGTATCTTCGGAGCAAACAAGTCAATATACAGTCTAGCAAGCTGTGCTGGTCGTACTACGGCCTAGTAGACCTTACCTCAGCGGATAAGGATGATGATGATGCAATACCCGAGGTTTTTATAGGTTTCAGGCCCTTAAAACTGCCACTGGCCTTAATGATGTTCAAAGTAACCTCTTAGAAGGTGAACAGAGTAACCGATGGGACGGGTTACTAGGCTATGATGAGCAATGTCGACACGTGGGCTGGTGATAACGAGCATGCCTAGCAATTTTGCGGCGTGGATTCGAGCCTGCGTAGGGGCAGGGAGACCCATACAGTATCCTTAGCCCACGTGCGACCAATGGTGGTCGCGTGGTACCGAGGCGTCGGTACTGCTGGCATGATGAGCAATTGTGAGGTGCCAGCTAAACCCAGCATTATTACGCTGTAAATGTAGGTTGCGAAGAAAATGCCAAATCGTGCAATATTTCATGTTAGGCTTATCAGAAGCGCTTCAACAGGAGTACATTATTGGCAGAAACTACGCTGCAGGAGGGAGCAGGATGAAGCTGAGCATCAGTTGAGGAATCAAAAAACTAATTACAAGAGTAGAGAGTGCAGAACAAGTGAACCCAACTCGGGAGAGCTCCGTGCGCCCCTAGTCGGCAATGAAATTCGCGATACCAAGAGTTGGCAATGAAGGTGAAATTTTCTGGTACGCTGTGTAATAATCCCTTTACTTCAGCTGACCAACCATGCCACATGCACCGGTTTGATTCACGTCACAGAAAATGAAAACCATCAGAAACGACGATAATATAACAAGAAGAATTCCAGTGGATTGAGAAAAAATTCTAAGATATCCGAAAGCCTCACGGGCTTCATGATCGCGTCATATCCGACAGGGAATCTAGCAACTGATGAGGCGAATTCCGAGGCCAATATCCAGGAAGGCGAGATGTGCAGGCGTAAGCATCTTTTTTATAAGCTTATTAATGAACGGTTGGCAGAGAGGAAGGGTGGCTGTGAGATGAGTGATATGATCAAAAAGTTAACGAAGGCGACATCTCGGAGCAGAAGACGAGGAAAACTGATCAAGTGAGTCGGTAACACGTAAACGATTGAGCAGACACGGAGCCCGTCCAGATGCTTACGAATCAGATGAGGAAAGACGGCGAGTTAGAACAGAAGAACTCACTTGAGCATAAGCAAGAAGTTCACGCGTTCCTGAATCGTAAAGTTCTTATACAACGCGATTACGTGGTCATCAGTCACGGTAGACAGGATGTGCAGAAGGCAGATAAAGAGCTCGCGTTGTAGCTTGTCCGTGAGCCGACGAAGTCCAGCGCTTGCTCCGGGATGAGGCCCAATGGGAAGACGGTGTTGGTGTGGTTGAGCTGTACCAGCGTGCTCAGAGGTGACTGATGTGATGGTGGAATCCTCTGCCGCCGCGGTGCTAGTTACGAGTGATAAGAGTAGAGCATACAGCATAACAAAGCAATCAATTGACTGAACGGAATTGTCTAAAAGTAATAATTAATGTGATGAAACAGAGCTACGGTAGCTTGTACGGTGTGTACGGCTTCGAGCCTACAGTACGCTTGTGAAACCTGGCCCATTAGATCAGCCGACCTAAAGAGGCTAGTTACGTTCGACCATCGGTGCTTTCGCAGTTTGGCTCGTATTCGTTGGGAACACCGTGTGAGCAATGAGCGTATTCGACGCCATGTTTATGGTGCAAGAAGAAGCGAACCAATAAGCACCGTTATTTCACGCTCCAGACTCCGATGGTTGGGCCAAGTGCTGCGCATGCTAGCCCACGGACTTCCGCCATGTGCGTTGTTTGCACGCCGGGTGTGTGGATTGAAGAAAAGCACGGGTGGGCAAGCGATGGTTTGATCAAGAGGAATGAAGGCCTTTACTTAGAAGTTGGCTTCCGTTGGAGCAACTAGACACCCTGCTTGGGGACCGAGGGACGATGAACACGTTTGGCTGGATACACTAGTTGACATGGCTAGGAGCCGACCTCAATGGCGTTTGTGTTGTGAGTTACTTTGTCCCTACCCCTCTATCTACGATAAGGCATAAGATAACTGCTTTTTTGCGACACAATAGTTGGCTGTTAGCTCTCCGGAACGATGTCCATCCGTTACTGGTGACTCAGCCGGCGTGCCCATGTTGCATGTATTTTTTCCTTTCTCATGTATTGTGGTACAGTAGATGTTTTTCATTTGCAGTTAACGGGGATAATGATGATGACGGAGTGTTAGGTTTGGAGCGCGGGTACGACAAGAAGGAAGGAGGGAATGGGCACGATCCCAGTGATTTCATAAATGACGAAGGCATGAACCCTTCTCAGATCAGGAATCAAAGCACAGAAAGAAAGGCACCACTGCAGAACTTACCCGTTCGAGGACATCCACTGCGTTGCGACTGAAGTGGGGCGCGTTTGTGGGGCGACGGAAAGGACTCCGACGAGACTTAGGACTTGATTGCCCCAATCTTGATCTGTAGCTGGTGAAACCGCAAGAAGAAGAAAATATATACGAAGTGTGAAAGTGGGCATGCAGAAGAAGCAAGAGACAGGAAAACTATTTGCCGTAGGCGTGAAAGGTCTTTGTAATTAGTGAAGAAAATGATGTGAATTGGGGTGTTCGTGAGAAGCGAATAAATTCCTAGGCTTATTCAAGTAGGCCGGAAAACAATAACAAAAGCGCAATCCCACCTGGTGCGCGACGATAGGAGGGGAATAATGCTTACGAATAAGGACAGACACGCGGATGGCAATTCTTCAAAGCCAGCCTGAATAACTGAGAAAGAAATGCACCTCATGCTTGCCTCGGGAGAGAATCCTAACATTGTTTGTCGATTGGAGGTAATAGCGTCAGAAGCCAAGAGGGGAAACCATCATTGAGGCTGGGTAAGTAAATCGGATTATATAAAGATTATGCACAAAGTGAGATGATGCATCTGTGGCTGATGAAGACGTCGAAAGTGATGCTAACCGACCAATCAAAACATAGCGCCCAAGCGAATAAGTATCACCAGTTTTGGTTGAGAGCACGTGGAACTATGAGTACGAAGGTGAATTTGTGCATATCACTACCAAAAAACCGCGTCACCAACTTGACATTACATACATTAACGCGTGAAAGGGGGAATTATTTCGTGCAGGTCGATAGCGGCACTCAGTCATTAGACCAGCATGTCACGTGTGAGCAAGAGACTGTCCCATTGTCGAGCGGATGAGTGTATGTCACGAACAGAAAACCCCACCTATGCCTAGTTGGGTTGGTGATCAGACGTGATAACACCTTGCAGACAGATAGCGCAAGTGTGCGTTGAAGAAGCAGTGGTCATAAGTTGATCTTAGCAAGATCCCGATGGTCTTGAGTCAAAGAAAGAAACCCAAGAGCCCAAACAGTCGTTATCAATTGATACGGATCAGTAATACGTAGCGAAGCGACTCGCGGGTCAAAAGCGCCGTCATTTCTGAGTTGTCTAATGTCTTTTGTCCCTGAACGAGCGACATTTCCGATATGGTATGTCACGCCTAAGCCTAGATGGGCGAAACTGAAAGGTGGCCAATCGCAGGGGCAAACGGGCATGATGAAAGTGACTGACAGACTTGTCTACGCTGACACAAGTCGTATTCGCGGACGGAGACCTAAGGATGAAACACATCGGTAGCTAGAGGCCGTAGCTGACATGGCGTTGTCGCGGACTCATTGGCACTTCGTCACGTGTATTGGGCCATTAGTGTTCCGCCCCCATCAATTTTACCCACTTTGCGTAAACCCTCTGGGTTTCCATTCTATCTGTGTTGCGCACATTTTCTTGGTGACCCGAGTCGTGTCAGATGTAGTGACTACCACATTTTTATATGGAGTTCATCCGGTTAACTTGAAAAAAGATTCAACATAAAATAATAATAATAACAATAATAATAAGTGTGGCAGAATATGAGCGACCACAGAAACATCTACACCGCACAACCCTCGGGGTTAGAGGTAAAGGAGCATGAGAGAGACATTCTATGGAAACCAACAGTACTGTCATATAGATCATCCGCCAGTCGTATCCCGTCCATTCGGTCAGGGTCAAGGTGCTTGTTCCGGTTCGACGCAAAGGCTCCGTTAAGCATTCCAGTCTGGCCATTATCCATCGACCCACAGACATCACCGAGTTCGGTTAAGGTCAGGGTGCTACTAGTCAGACTGGATGCGGCTTCCGGGCGTTCCTGTTGGTGCATGACACCATTTTCAACTATGGGGTCAGGGAACTGCGATGAGCGCTCAGACGCACCGCGCAGTTCGCGTGTCCCGCCGCCACGTCGGGGAGCATTTCGAATCGGAATGCCTAAAAAATGCAGATGGAAATGCATCGGTCAGCAAGGCAAGCATAAAAAGATCTGATCAAACAAGAAACGTTGTCAACAACTAACCAACGCAAAAGACTGTGAGATGATACCTGCAGTGCTAAGAGGGCGACATGTGGAGATCCGTAGCTAAGCGAACTGGTGGCAACGAAACGGAAAATGTGGACGGATATGAAGGCCAATGGAGAATTTTGACAGCATTAGTGTTCAAATAGTGGTATAGCAGTGGTTTTCACGTGTGACACACACACGGTTGCTAGTAGGGTTTGACCATCGCATATGTAATGGTAATGGGGCTCGGAGCGTTCTAAAGTGAGTGTCGCGTTTTCCACTTGACTACAAAGCTTGTATCTGATTTGGTTCGTGGAGGCCAGTAAGATGGGTCCAATTAAAGTTCAATAGCCAGCAAGCGGTGCAAAACAATACGCAGCAATAAAGTAGGGATTGACACTTGACTCATCTTCTACTGCCATGCCAGCTACGATTAGAGAAGAGGACAGTAGTTAGCCCCACGAGCTAGGAACTTCCACATAGGGACTTGGTATGACACAAAGACCTAGAAGCTATAAGTACAGATTTTAAATTACTGATGAGTAGTGGGGAATCGGTATATTTATACCAAATCCCCACTACTCATTAGTAATAAAGTATAGATGCGTGCAGAAGTCAAAGTAGTTTGTGTGTGGGAAAGCTCATCTTTTCTAACTAGACATGGAAAGCCAAAGACGTACATCACCATAGTAGTCGCAAGTCCATATCCACATTATCAGCAGTGAAGTGCAAATTGAAGCTGGAATCCAAATCCAAGCGTTACAAAAATTTTCAACCAGCTCACAGAACACATACTCTTTTGGAGGGAAACAAGCGAATGCACGTTCTTGTCCAAGATAACGAACTTTTGGTTAGAAAATATATAAGTAATGAAAATAAAAAAGATGGAATTTCGGAGCTACACTCTACCAGCACGGCGAATTTGCAGTTTACAGATTCGCGTGCTTTGGGATTAAGACCAAACTTCCTGGCCCCGATGAAATAGGAAAGGAAGTATAACACATAAGTAGTATCCAAAAATATTTCATGCGAAGTCTAATTTCGAGTGTAGAAAACACTGCTGGGAATATTGATGCGATGTCCAAAATTAGGGAATCTACTTTCGAGAATGATATTGATAACACACAATAAACAGTTGGCCTCTTCATCGCATTCATGTCGTTACTTCTGTAATAATCGTATCGGTCTGCGGACAATCATATCGAAATTTCGACCAAAGGAACAATCGTGGTCGCAATAAATCACAATGGTGGTGCATTCGCATAGCCGTTTTAATCACAACCGGCTTCTCGGCACCATCACAAAGTCCCTGGAAAACAGGGCGGAAACAAGCAGCCGATGTTTTCAGTAACAGCATAGTTTGTTGCGTTTACGCGTAATCGATGTGAACAACACACGGGTCGATTCTGGTGCTAAAGCAACTTAGGTAAATTAAAGTTGACAGCTCATTGGACCAGCGTCAATGTCGCATTGACGGACAGTCTGGCGCCACAGAAAATAAAGTCGCGACCAGCTGCTTTTCTCCTCAAATCATCGCAATAGTTGAAACCCAAGTGCCAGTCCAGCCATTGAAACTTAGGCCCCAAGTGGTAGGTGGTTCTCCAATGCCCTTGGCTTATATGACATAAAGTAGATAGGGCAGAATACACATACTATTAGAAAACGTTGACTGAATAACACTGAGTACATTTCCAAATTTGGTTACACTTTATTGATTCCACGATGTTTCGGATAAGGGTCGCGCGGTCGTTTCTTTTCCGTTTTCAATGTATACGGATTTTGGCGAGATAAGAGCCAACGACACCCTATATGAAACATCCGCAACCAGGAAAGGATGACAGCGAGCTCATGAAAGCCCTAATAACGATAGAATGAAATTTTCCGACACAATGTCCATGTGTCAAAATATGGCGCCGTCGCAGAGTCTGAGCATTGCTCAACAAATTTTATTCATCCGTATGACGGAAAAATTCGCTTGCGTGTTGAGTAACTCGTAGGACTCCCGGGTCAAACCAAAGCAAAGTCGAAAATGAATTACGGTACGACACAAATAGAGATGAAAATGCAATACGGATATACCTCAACAATACCCGGTCGGTAAAGAAACAACCCTTGTCTTTACAAAGTATACAATAAAGATGCAAATCCCAGTTTAGTTAAATCACAAAAAGCAGAGCCCGCAAGCGGAATTCCTCAGGCTCTTGTATTAGGTCATGTAAACATGCACAATGGTGAGTTCGATGTACAACGCATAAAGGGATACAATGGGTTAAGTTCAAGAGTGCCATCACGGGAGCAATTTATCAGGGCACAGGTGTGTGCAGAGGCGTGAATGAACAGACGACCAACAAGCGTGACGGATGGAGCAGATTGCATGTTACACACCAGGTGTACTAGCTGGGATTGGGAGAAAAGCACGGGCGGTAGCGAATAGGAAGACATAGGAGGGTTTGACAGCAAGCGGTAAGCTTAGTGTCAATTGTGGTGAGCTGGAACAATATGCCAATATCCAAATCTCGGCTTGCCTGGTAACTACCGTTAACAACGTGCATGCTAGCAGAAAGGGTCTTGCTCGAAACCTATGTTGAACAACATGAGAAAGCAATTCAGCCAGGAAGCTGGCCTCGGTTGGAGCGTCTCGGCTCCCTGGTTGGGGTCCGAAAGACGATGAACACGTTTGACTGGATAGACTTGTTGATATGGTTAGGGGCTGAACTCATTGGGGTTCGTGCTATGAGTTTCTTTGTCCCTCCCCATTCCTCTTAGCCTCCCCCACTAACCACGATCTCATTTATTAGCATAGCATAATATAATTTGGAATAAGAATGTTGTATAGTAGCTAGTTGGTAGCTTTCAGGAACCATACCTATTCGTTACTAGTAGCTCAGCTGGCTTGCATCTGCTTCATATGTTCCGTTCTTTTCTTTGATGTATTGCGGTACAGTAGCTGAGGAGTTTTCCACCTCTAGCCAATGTGTATAATGATGATGAGGATGAGGATGCTGACGATGATGAATTCAGCTAGTCGATGTCTTTGGGAATGATGCAAGTGTTACATCACCTGGAAGTCGATGTTTACTCATGCAAACGAACTGAGTATAAGTTGCTATTTCTCTCTAGACGGAACAATCTCTCGGGCCTATGCAAGGCAAATTGCCACCAACTGTCTGGCGTATAAAAAAGTGCCATTATAGAATGATCCGCATGACGGACTGGGCTGAGCCTTCATGGCCCATAATACATGTACAAAAGCAGCTCTAAAATGAACAAAACATATGATATACAGGTGATGGCTCATATGCTACTAAGACACACCGGCACACGGCCAGTTATTGCATGGAAGTGCGAGCGAAACCTTTCGAGGGAATACCTTGCATGGAAGCAGGTCCCCTGGGGACGGTTCCACGAGTGGCCGTATTACTTTAACTGGACATCTGTTTAAATCTGCTTACGTTATTGTTCCTGCTTTTTAATTTCTTTAATGCCTTAATCCTGCCAATTAGTTTAGTACCTGTTTTGGATCCAGTGTAAAAAGCGTGAACAAATTGGTTATTTTTTTTGCGATCCTGTTGTACACATTGATCAGACCACATCGTTGGACTGCACCTCGAAACACCGAGGAATATAACATTTATTTATTGTATGAGAGGTTTGCTTCGTGCTTACATTACACATATCAGGACTTACGGACGAAGCAAAAGGTATCAAGAATGTCCCTTTTCTGATGATCTAGGTCCATTTGGAAACAACAGATCAAGCTGTTAATAATGCTTGGGTTTCGCAAGCCCAAAATCCCAATCAGTGACACAATGCAGAGCGGTTTACTGATCGACAAGAGAAAATACCTTGCAGGTATATACGCAAATTATCGACTGGGACATCTCAATGAGGAACCTGGGTGTTGCCTGCCTGGAAACACTGCATTGCGTTTCGACCTTATTCTATCTCATCGGGGCCTTGAACCCGCGACCGTTGGGACGTTAGGTGGGAGTCACCGGGTTACGACGGGCAACGCTTGTTGTTACAATCTTTCGGATTGTATCACCCACTGGGACCATGCGCGACGGGAATTCATTCTCTGCGTATGGATCACACTCGAGTCGCCCGTCTCACTGACCTAGCCACATGTTCGTTGTGTACAGACATTCAGGTCATCCGCCCTCTGCATATCGATGCAACATACTTCGGTGGCCAGGAAAATCATAGTTGCCGATTAACGGTCTAGGATAGGAGTCTTTTAACCTCAGTCCTTGGGTCAGATGTGGCTCAGGCAGTATCCAGTCCGGCCTCGCGGCAACTACTAAGATAGTTAGAGGTGCATAAAACCCAACTGAATTGTCGCGAGATGGAGTGTAGTTTGACCCAGACATATTGCACATTCAAACAGGAAGTGATATTAATCGACGCTATTCCGAGTACTAATCCTTCCTATTACCACAGATTACACCGGGTCTGTATGAACTTTTCAAACGGATACCAATTGTTTACATGGAAGAGAAGGCGTTACCTAGAGAAGAAATGATGAATGTTGTGTGCAAGAAAATTCACTCCCTGGTATGTTTTATTAGACTCTCACCGGAAACATCAATGAGTATTTGTGTGGGCAATTACAACCATAACCAAGAATGGAAGTTTTGTTGTTCGTCTAACGCAAAAGTTCACAACTTTTTTGAGATTGTGATCCACAAAGCGTGTGCATTATACATAACTACCTCAAAAATTAGGTTAAATAATTAACTAGTAACTACAGTATTTTCCGCTTTAAGGAAATGAATAGTGTCTTAATTACTTTTCATCATTCAAATAAAGAAAACAGTCGTTTTTGGACATCTTTCATGAAGTCTAGAGGTGGTGTACGTTAATGAGACGGTTGAACGTGCTCAGCTCCAACAATTTATGGTAATTGTAGTGCGGTTTCGGCTAATGCACATCGTAGATCACACTATAAGTTCATTCGGTCCCCTGCTTTAATGATCTTTGATGGGTGCTGGGTCTATTGGTTCGACTTTCTCATTGATTTCAGCTCTCATTTGTGTCTGCAAGGGTGAC